TATCGCTGCTGCTTCTCACGCTGAGCCACAGCTGAAATACGGAACAGTCGTCTCACTCTTCCTGGAGCTCTTATCGAAGGCATCACTGCGTCAGTTCCTTTAAATTACCTCTCAGAAGGCCTCTTTTCCTATAAACCCAGTGTTCTCCAGCACATCCTTGGGCCTACAGGGAAGCTGGAGCGAGACTTTTTACAAGGGCCTGTAGTGACAGGACAAGGGGGAACGGGTTTAAATGGAAAGTGGGGAGGTTTAGATTAGATATCAGGAAGGAATTCTTCCTGGAGGGGGTGGGGAGCACTGGGACAGGTTGCCCAGAGAAGCTGTGGATGCCCCATCCCTGGAAGTGTCCAAGGCCAGGCTGGATGAGGCTTGGAGCATCCTGGGCTATGGAAGGTGTCCCTGCCTATGGCAGGGGGTGGGACTGGGTGGGATTTAAGGTCCCTCCCAACCCAACCCACTCTGTGATTCTATGATTTTCTCATCTTCTCTTTCGATAGCTGTGGCTCTCCTGGGTACCTTGCCATACAGTGACAGGGTATTGATTCTGGAGGGAGTTTTCACAACGACATAACTCACATCATCACTGACTGGTTTCCATATTTGCTCTTTGTGGTCATTCTACAAAACACCTTTTCTAGAGAAGGCACTTTGGAGTGGGACCCTAACCAATCTGTCCTCGGGAGCCACCTGCTCCACAATCTGCGAGGCTGGAGCCAGGGGAGACTGCTCTCTTGTACCTTAACTTCCCCTTTGCTAGATACAGCTTTCCCTGCAAATCCCTCCCGCTGCTCCTGCCGCCTTGAGGGAAGCGTACTCTGTGGATCGGTGGCTCTTTGGCTGGCGGCACAGCGTGCTGACAGGTCGTGTCACTGAACCCTCGCAGTCACATCCTGTTGTAAGCCTCTCACTCCAGTTCCTTGATGAGGGTTATGTACTTGTGTCAGCGTGGAGTTTGGGAACAAACACAAGTTCCATTCCATGCTGGTTACGCCCCTAATAGTTCCTGAACCTATAAGGCATTTTCTTTTCCATACAGCGCGGAGGAATTCCGAAAACATTTTGCACAGTTGCAGATGCCAAGTCCTTTGTACATTTTAGGGAACTCTACACCTTAAATAATTCACTTCAGAAAGGCTAGTCAGGATTTCTGCAGAGTGTCCCATCCAGCGTCCGTGGCCAGAAGTGTGCGGAGTGTAAAGTCTTTGAAGAATTCCAGGGAGAGTTTCTCTGCAGACCAGAGGGATTTTCAGTGTGAAACTGCAAATTGTGGTGCCTAGGATGGGCGAAAAGTGAAAGCTTACATGGCTAGAGCTTGCAGAGCAATGATTACAGGGTTCTAGAGCCTGCACACAGTGAGGACCCGCTCCATGATCCTCGGCTGTTAAGAGGAAGAGCAGTAACGAGGCGATGCAGGTCCTTGGGGTCTTCCTCCGGGCAGCTTTGCTGTTTGTTTGTGAGAGTTGCGCCACGCACAGCAGTGTCTGACCTCTGTTTGCGTTTCAGTTCTGGTGTCAAGAGCTTGGAGGAAGTTTGCCTGCAGGTAACAGATCTCCTGCCTGGCCTCAAGAAGCTGCGGAATCTGCTCCCCGAACACGGCTGTCTGTTACTGTCTCCAGGCAACTTCTGGCAGAACGATCGAGAGCGATTCAATGCTGACCCAGATATCATCAAAACCATCCACCAGCATGAACCAAAGACATTGCAGACGTCGGCCACCCTCAAAGGTGAGAGGCTGAAGGGCTGGAGAAGCTGTGAGAGATCCCTGCAGCTCACATGGCTGTTTTGGTTCGGGATCACCAGTACCTACATTGCCAGCCTTAGCAAATTGGGTGGTGTTTTGGTACTTGCAGCATCTGACACGAGGCTGCTGAATATATGTCGTCTCTCCTTTCATCTCGGTGTTTCAACTTGGCTCTGTGTTTGTGGAAAGCGAATGGATTGAGGTGAATTGGCTGCTCTCAAGAGGAGCCCTGAGGGGGGTTTGGGGGTACCAGGGGCGAGAAGCTGGCCATGAGCAGGCCGTGTGCGCTGGCAGCCCAGAAAGCCAACCCCATCCTGGGCTGGATCCAGAGCAGTGTGGCCAGGGGGGCGAGGGAGGGGATTCTGCCCCTCTGCTCCGCTCTGGGGAGACCCCCCTGCAGTTCTGCTCCAGCTCTGGGACACCCCACAGAAGTTTTTTTGTGTTTAGAGGGAGTTTCACATTTTAGTTGATGCCCGTTGCCTCTTGTCCTGTCACGGGGCAGCGCTGGGACGAGACGCTCCCCTGCCTCAGGTATTGACACCCATGGATAAGGTCTCACCAGAGGATGGAGAAAGGGCTTCCCATAAGAACAGTACTTGTCATTCTGCCTTCTTCCCAACGAACACCTTGTGTGTCCCGTCCTCCATGTTTATTTTTCCTTATCCGAGTGTTTCGTGTGCGCTGTTGTTTTGCAGATCTGTTGTTTGGGCTCCCTGGAAAGTACAGCGGGGTGAACCTCTATAACCGGAAGCGAGTGGTATCGTACACTGTCACACTGGGCCTCCAGCGCTATGATTCCAGGTAAGGACCTTTAGCTGGGCTATTTCTGTCTTAGGGATCCCTTGTTCCATTCTTGGCTGGTTGGCTGTTTTCTCTATTCCAATTATTGTTCCGTTTTTCTTTAATCTCCCTTTTTCTCATGTTTTAGAGTATTTTAGGATCTTCTGAACGTGCTATAGAAAAACATGCTGCTGTTTTTTTGGAGAAAGCTTGCTGTGTTTTAGGGAAATAACCTATCAGTTCTCAGTTTCTCTTGAAAAAGTATATTTAACACCCAGAGCTGCCAACGGGAGTTCCTCTGATGGCTTCATTGGCACATGGAGCTGTGGTCATTGAAGCCAAGGCCCCGTAGATCCGTTCTGACCCAGTTCCTGGTGCGTGGAGTGGTTTGCTTTCCAGTAAGCACTGATTCAGCAGCTACCAACTGTGCAGCCCCTTTGGCACGGCGTTAAAGCCGGCTTGGATTGAGTGTATCCACGGACAAAATGCTCCGCGCTGCACGGAATTCCCTCGGGAATGCCTAGGACCGAATTGGCAGCGCAGTTGTCGAAACCTGCTCCGCTGCCGCCCCTGCAAGAACCCTTCAGCCTCAAGGACTGTCATGTAGTGCCTCTCATCAGCCCTACTTCCGTGAAATTCAGGCAGTGTTTGAGACTACAGCACGTTCTGTTCCCCAGGGCCGAGATTTTGGGTGATGAGCCCTTGCTTTAAGTAGTTTTGCTGCGTCTTCACGGTTACTTTGTGAGTCCTTGTGATTACGGGGCTTCTTCCTGCTCGATCTGTACCCGTGGAGCTCCTTGGAATTCCATGCTGGTTGTGAGGCGCAGTGACATCCTCCTTGCTTGCTTTTCATCCCAGGTTCCTCAGCAGCCTCCGCTCTCGCCTCAAGCTGCTGCATCCCAGCCCTAACTGCACGCTGCGAGAGGAGAACATCGTTCACGTCCACTTCAAGGAAGAGATTGGCATTGCTGAGCTGATACCCCTCGTCACCACCTACATTATACTCTTCGCTTACATCTACTTCTCCACACGTAGGTTTTTGGGGCGCAGAGCCTTGAGGGCAGAGCAAGCTCTCTGAGGAGGTGTACGGGTGCCCTTTCCCTAGCTCCAGATGAGACCCTCCTGTCCACAGCACTGCAGTTCCCTCCTGTTCCCGCAGGAAGGGTGGTGTTTAAATTTTCCCCTGAACTGTCACTTAGAGAAATAGTAGTCCTGTTCATCTGATTTCTGCTCATTTTTCCCTCTTAGGCAGTGTGGTGTTACTCCTTGTGGTATCTTCTGAGGCGGTTTTTGTCTCAACCAGCTTTAAATGCCACAGTAATGCCATTTTTTTCCAGTTTAGAGACAAATTCATTGTCAGACAGATCAAATACATGTTCTGAGCTGTGGGTTTTAGATCTTACTAGCCACATTTAAGCTCCTTTATTCCATCTGGAACTAGTTTGAGCTGGATTATCCTCCGTCCCACCCTGGTTTCAGTACCTCCCGCGTACCCCGAGGCTCTGGGAGCTGCATTTCAGACGCTGAGACTGAACAACCTTTACTCCTGGGCCGCAGGGTATGAAGCGACCTGCTGAAATAAGTCAGGATGAGGATCCCTTCGTGATTTTTGTATTAATATGCCACTTTGTTTTGCTGGGTAACCGAGACTCTGCATTCTGTTTTTCAGGGAAGATCGACATGGTGAAATCGAAATGGGGTCTGGCGCTGGCAGCTGTCGTGACGGTGCTCAGCTCTCTGCTCATGTCCGTCGGGCTGTGCACGCTCTTTGGTTTGACGCCTACTCTTAACGGAGGGTATGTTTCCAACCCCAGACCTCTTGCTGAAGAAGGGGAGAAGGAGGAGAAATTGTTGACATCAGCTGTTAAATGCTTAATCGTTAAGATCCAGCATTTTCCAGAGTAGCTTATGTGATATTATTTGACACGTGCTGTGGCTGGGCTGAAGGGCCGCGTGTTTCTCTGCTGGCCAGCAGCTAGACCTGACTGGGTCCCGCTCCTCCTGGAGGTCCCTTATTGCTGTTGGCTTTTTCTGCCTAAAGCAGAAGGAATTCTTGGGACAGCATCTCATTCGTAACTTGATTTCCTGGCAGCCAAGTTGGCTCTCACATACCTTCCTCCTGCAGCGACTTGTAGCACCCAAAAGGGCTCATTACCTTTTCTCTGGCTGACGGAGGGTCGTTACGTTTTACTCAGGAAAAATGCCTTAGATAAAGCCAGAACTAGGTTGTACTTTCCACATCTTGGATTCTTTGACATAGAATCATAGAATCACAG